TCCCCCGTTTTCTATTGGGGGCAATCCAGTACAACGGGATTGTGTGGAAGTGCAAGGGTCTTAGTCCGTTTGTGTGAAGTGAAACCCTAACAAAGTCTGTGTGTGTCCCATGTACAGTTGAAGTCGGAGGTTTACATACACTTAGGTTGGAGTCATTAAAACTCGTTTTTCAACCACTCCACAAATGTCTTGTTAACAAACAACAGTTTTGGCAAGTTGGTTAGGACATCTACTTTGTGCATGACACAAGTAATTTTTCCAACAATTGTTTACAGACAGATTATTTAACTTATAATTCACTGTATCACAATTCCATTGGGTCAGAAGTTTACATACACTAAATTGACTGTGCCTTTAAACAGCTTGGAAAATTCCAGAAAATGATGTCATGGCTTTAGACGCTTCTGATAGGCTAATTGACATAATTTGAGTCAATTGGAGGTGTACCTGTGGATGTATTTCAAGGCCTACCTTCAAACTCAGTGCCTCTTTGCTTGACATCATGGGAAAATGAAAAGAAATCAGAAAAAAAATGGTGTAGACCTCCACAAGTCTGGTTCATCCTTGGGAGCAATTTCCAAACGCCTGAAGGTAGCACGTTCATCTGTACAAACAACAGTACGCAAGTATAAACACCATGGGACCACGCAGCCGTCATACCGCTCAGGAAGGAGACGCGTTCTGTCTCCTAGAGATGAAAAATCAATCCCAGAACAACAGCAAAGGACCTTGTGAAGATGCTGGAAGAAACAGGTACAGAAGTATCTATATCCTCAGTAAAACGACTCCTATATCGACATAACCTGAAAGGCCGCTCAGCAAGGAAGAAGCCACTGCTCCAAAACCGCCATAAAAAAGCCAGACTACAGTTTGCAACTGCACATGGGGACAAAGATCGTACTTTTTGGAGAAATGTCCTCTGGTCTGATGAAACAAAAATAGAACTGTTTGGCCATAATGACCATCGTTATGTTTGGAGGAAAAAGGGGGTGCTTGCAAGCCGAAGAACACCATCCCAACCGTGAAGCACGGGGTGGCAGCATCATGCTGTGGGGGTGCTTTGCTGCAGGAGGGACTGGTGCACTTCACAAAATAGATGGCATCATGAGGAAGGAAAATTATGTGGATATATTGAAGCAACATCTCAAGACATCAGTCAGGAAGTTAAAGCTTGGTCGCAAATGGGTCTTCCAAATGGACAATGACCTCAAGCATACTTCCAAAGTTGTGGCAAAATCGCTTAAGGACAACAAAGTAAAGGTATTGGAGTGGCCCTCACAAAGCCCTGACCTCAATCCCATAGAAAATCTGTGGGCAGAACTGAAAAAGTGTGTGCGAGCATGGAGGCCTACAAACCTGACTCAGTTACACCAGCTCTGTCAGGAGGAATGGGCCAAAATTCACCCAACTTATTGTGGGAAGCTTGTGGAAGGCTACCCGAAACGTTTGACCCAAGTTAAACAATTTAAAGGCAATGCTACCAAATACTAATTGAGTGTATGTAAACTTCTGACCCACTGGGAATGTGATGAAAGAAATAAAAGCTGAAATAAATCATTCTCTCTACTATTATTCTGACATTTCACATTCTTAAAATAAAGTGGTGATCCTAACTGACCTAAGACAGGGAATTTTTACTAGGATTAAATGTCAGGAATTGTGAAAAACTGAGTTTAAATATATTTGGCTAAGGTGTATGTAAACTTCCGACATCAACTGTAGGTCCCCTCCACCCCGTCCTCCAACCCTCCCTGACCTCTCACCTGTCCTCCGGACTGCCCCGAGCCGTCGGCGCAGACGAACTGGACAAACTCCTTGAGCGGGTCCTGGTGGTGGTGGTAGCGGATGGTGGGGTGGGTGAAGTAGGGACTGGACTGCTGGATGATGGAGGAGGAGGGGAAGTGGAGAGCTGACGCTGAGGCACGGGGACTCCCTGAGAGAGAGGGGGAGGTGAGGGGGGAAAGAGTGAGAGCGTGAGAAGGGACAGAGGGAGAGGTAGGCAGAGGGAGAAGAGTTAGTTGGGTCCATGCAATCCCACTCCAGACAAAATTCATAACACAACACATTTAGAAAAAAAACAAGAAATTCAGATAACACAAAAGTGACACAAACGATACTGAATAGAGTAACTGATGTAATCCAACACACTAGACTGAATAGAGTAATTGATGTAATCCAACACACTAGACTGAATAGAGTAACTGATGTAATCCAACACACTAGACTGAATAGAGTAACTGATGTAATCCAACACACTAGACTGAATAGAGTAACTGATGTAATCCAACACACTAGACTGAATAGAGTAACTGATGTAATCCAACACACTAGACTGAATAGAGTAACTGATGTAATCCAACACACTAGACTGAATAGAGTAACTGATGTAATCCAACCACTAGACTGAATAGAGTAACTGATGTAATCCAACACACTAGACTGAATAGAGTAACTGATGTAATCCAACACACTAGACTGAATAGAGTAACTGATGTAATCCAACACACTAGACTGAATAGAGTAACTGATGTAATCCAACACACTAGACTGAATAGAGTAACTGATGTAATCCAACACACTAGACTGAATAGAGTAACTGATGTAATCCAACATAATAGACTGAATAGAGTAACTGATGTAATCCAACACACTAGACTGAATAGAGTAACTGATGTAATCCAACACACTAGACTGAATAGAGTAACTGATGTAATCCAACACACTAGACTGAATAGAGTAATTGATGTAATCCAACACACTAGACTGAATAGAGTAACTGATGTAATCCAACACAATAGACTGAATAGAGTAATTGATGTAATCCAACATAATAGACTGAATCCCTACTTGGTTGAATATATCTGTTAATTCATCTGATGCCAGATTGGCTTATCAGTGTGGTAATTAGAGAGAGTTAGACAGTGGATGTCACATTATTTTTATCCAGGGGTTTACTATAGATGTAAATGCATGTGATTTATTAGTGTGTTTTATTAGTGTGTTTATCAGTGTGGTAAATAGAGAGAGTTAGAGAGTGGACGTCACATTATTTTCCCCTGTGGTTTGTACTATAGGGAGACTAAAGCTACTTGTGTATCTAAATGAACAGAATCATCCAAGGCTGCAACATCTGGTCCTATTCATACAATACATCTCTTCTGTATTCTTTGTCTATCTACAGTAAGCACAGCTTGAACACACACACACACACACACTAACAAACACACACATACACGAATGCACACATGCATTACACGCACACATGCATACACACACACACACTGAAGCGTGACAGTCAGAGACACACACACACACACACACACTTTCCAGTTGGTAATGCTTCTTTGTGATGTGTAATCAATCATAGCCTATCATTGCTGTGTGGTTCTGCCCAGTAGTATGAAGCCTGGGAGAGTTAGATCCCACCGCTAAATCCCTTATAGACATTAGTCATTGTGTGTGTGTGACGGTGTCTTCTGAGATTCTGTGGCCTTGGCGATTTGGCACTGGAAACAGGCAAGCTGGTTGGTAGTCTGCGAGGGGACTTGCATCTGTGAATGTGTCTGTCTGACACCCTCTATCTCTCCAGTGTACGGAGGTGTGTGTGTGTGTGTGTGTGTATGAAAGTGGGCTCACTAGACCAGACTGACTACCAGAATAAACAGACAACAGTCACACCTGGCATCCTCGCCCTGCCAATAGGAAATAAACTAACCCAGACAGCGTCTATGCCTATAGCTCCATCCCAGCTACTGATGTCAAGCCAAACTCTCTCCCTCACTCCTTTACCTCAGTCTATCCCTCTCCCCCTTTCTCCCTCACCCCTTCTCCCGTCTCTCTCTATCCCTCTCTCTGTATCCCTCTCTCCGTCCCTTTCATTGGTCTCTTTATAGAACCCTGGCCTCTGAGGGACTTTCTATTTGGACGGCGGCCATTTTAGCAGCCCCCCTCCTCTTTCCCTCCTCCTATGGAGCCTAAACACTGTCTCAGTCTCACACTACAACTCTATTACAGACTAACCTCTTAGCAGTTTGTACACACATTCTAACTGGGATAAGGGGTCAGCTATGAATCAGATACACCTGAAGCTGGTCTGACACATCTTCACGTAACACAAGTAACAGAAAGTCAATAGAATAATAGAATGTAAAGCTCTTTTAGCACTTAGACAAGCACTCTATATACTTAATCCAATCCATCACTGTTATTACCATATGAAATTAAAAGGAATAGTATAACATAATCTATATCAAATGTATACTAAGCTAAATGTACAATTCTTAAGCTATTCTAGTGAAACGTGAAGGAAGGGGAGAGCTGTAAGAGTCCAAATGACCTTTACATGATAGGGCTGCTTTGGCTGCGGACCAGGCCAATCCTCAGAGAGAGAGAGAAGAGGGAGATGGAGGAAAAGAGAGAGACAGAAAGAGGGAGTGGGGGATGGAGAGAGAGAGAGAGAGAGAGAGAGAGAGAGAGAGAGGGGGGATGTATTTATTCCTTTGGAAAGTGAAACTCAACAGGGACTACAGTAGCTGGCAGGCTCATATCTCGGAGGGAGAAGAGGAATTCTCAGACCGGAGGCCTGGAGACCATTTTGTTATCCTCACAACGTTCTTATATAAGGCGAGGGCGGGCTGTTTGAAACAACTAGTGTGTGTGTCTGTCTGTCTGTGTTTGCCCTGTTTGAAACAGAACTGGCTCGATCACATGGACATGGAATGACTGTGGCTTGAAGACACACGAAATAAAGAAAGAGAGGAAAACAGTAGTGAGAGAGAGATAGAGCTGAACTGTTGCAGGCCATGATAATAAATGTCAAGAGATCTCTGGATCTTATTGCTAGTTCTCAGATCAAAGAGGGTTCAATTCCACTACTGCTGCTAGGTTGTCTTGGTGAAATTGATCTCTGCAATTGGGGTCAGTAAGATTCTCTCCCATCTCTCTCTCTTTCTTTCTCAGTGACTATAGTATAAGGGGTGGGGGGTGGGGTCTAGAGATCTGTATATGTATAAGGGGGTGGGGTCTAGAGATCTGTATATCTATAAGGGGTGGGGTCTGGAGATCTGTATATCTATAAGGGGGGGGGGTCTGGAGATCTGTATATCTATAAGGGGGTGGGGTCTGGAGATCTGTATATCTATAAGGGGTGGGGTCTAGAGATCTGTATATCTATAAGGGGGTGGGGTCTGGAGATCAGTATATCTATACGGGGGTGGTGTCTGGAGATCTGTATATCTATAAGGGGGTGGGGTCTGGAGATCAGTATATCTATAAGGGGGTGGGGTCTGCAGATCTGTATATCTATAAGGGGGTTGGGGTCTAGAGATCTTTAAGGGGGTGGGGTCTGGAGATCTGTATATATAAGGGGGTGGGGTGCTGGAGATCTGTATTATCTATAAGGGGGGTGGGGGGGTCTGGAGATCTGTATATCTTTAAGGGGGTGGGTCTGGCGATCTGTCTATCTTATAGGGGGGTGAGGGTCTGGACGAGCTGGATATCGATAAGGGGGTGGGGCGTCTGGAGATCTGTATATCCTGATAAGGGGTGGGGGGTCTTTCTGGAGACTCGATATATCTATAAGGGGGTGGGGTCTAGAGATCTGTATATCTATAAGGGGTGGGGTCTAGAGATCTGTATATCTATAAGGGGTGGGGTCTGGGGGCAGGGCTCGGTCTCACCTGGTCTCACTCCTGCCAGCACGGGCAGCGGGCGGTGTGAACGCCATCTCTCAACCCTCTCTCTTTCTCTCCCTCCCTCTCTTTGTCTATAAGGGTGGTGAGTGAATTTAGGGGTTGGGTCTGGGGCTCACCTGGTCTCACTCCTGCCAGCACGGGCAGCGGGTGGTGTGTGAACGTCATGCGGGGGGACCTCGTCTGGGGCGACAGAGCGTTGAAATCAAACTTCCCCGGCTTCTTAAGAGAACCAGGCGAGGACAGTCCTGGCAAAATAAAAAATGTAAAATGGGATCAATAAAAAATAATATAAAAATGGGGGAGAAGAGGAGTTGGGTTTAATGTACAATGTTTTTGACTGGCTGCTACCACTTCTTCAATAATAATTTTCAAAAGGGAATTCATTATTAGACATTATTTATTATTTGATTGATTGGGTTTGGAGCACTTTGATTGGCTGATGACAGTGCATTGTTTTGAGTCCTGTTGGATATTGGCCGTTCTCCTAACCAATCCCAGGCTATCGGGCTCAGGACTTGCAGAATTCTCAGTGTAAACAGTGCCCTCAAAAAAAATGATGGGATGGTTGAAGTTGTGGCTTTGGGGTGGTCGGGGTGGGGGAAGGATTGTTGTAGGGTTGAATCAAGGCAGTAATTAAACCTACAAGCATTTAAAAATCTACATCCATCGTCCTCCAAGATTGGCTGAATATTCTCCTCTTTCCAAAGTCCTACAGCCTACCATGAGCTATATGAAGCTCCATTCAGACATAGAAAACAGAAACACTTTATATAAACTACAGTATGGAGCCTGCAGCTGCTCAGTGAGAAAGACAAACAGACGGAATGGAGGGAGGGAGAGAGAGAGAGGGGAGGGAGGGAGGCGAGAAAAACGTGGGAGAATATGTGAGTGAAGGAAGGAGAGAGTGAGTGATGTCAGAGTGGAACCTGTGAAAATGTGGCAGTATTTTTCCTTTTGCTTCCTTTCCTTTATAGGAATGTATGAGATGGAATAAGATGGTACACATGGTTCATTATCTCCATCTCACACTCACAAACACCCACATTCACTCTTAACACACTAAAGACCTAAGACCTTTTCATACTATTTTTAGTCGTTTTCATATTCATCCTAGAATCCTAACTGACAATATTTGTTCCTAAACTTTGTGGTCCTGACATTAAAATCCCATTTAACCACAATGATTTCGGTTCCAGCTGGGTATGTGTGAAAGTCTATGGAGAGAGAGAGTGCAGTGTGGGGGCGTGTAAACAAAACGTCTTTAACGGTGTGAAAGTTAAGTCTGCAGCAGGTGGGAGGGAGGGAGTGACTAATATGTGTGAACCATTTATGTCTTTAACAGACATATTTCATTTTTAGTTAACCAGAGCTAGGATCTAGGGGGTGTAGTGTGTGTGTGTGTGTTTCATTTCTAACCAATGCAAGGAGGCTAGGGTTTTATTGTAGCTGTCTAATTGGAGCCATGGAAGAGAGGTGGTGAACCATGCCTGATCCCAACAATGACACCAACGGTTACTATGGCGTCTGACACCAACGGTTACTATGACGTCGGACACCAACGGTTACTGTGACGTCTGATACCAACGGTTACTGTGATGTCTGATACCAACGGTTACTGTGATGTCTGACACCAACAGTTACTGTGACGTCTTACACCAACGGTTACTATGGCGTCTGACACCAACGGTTACTATGACGTCGGACACCAACGGTTACTGTGACGTCGGACACCAACGGTTACTGTGACGTCTGATACCAACGGTTACTGTGACGTCTGACACCAACAGTTACTGTGACGTCTTACACCAACGGTTACTATGGCGTCTGACACCAACGGTTACTGTGACGTCTGACACCAACAGTTACTGTGATATATGACACCAACGGTTACTGTGATGTCGGACACCAACGGTTACTATGACATCTGACACCAACGGTTACTGTGAGGTCTGACACCAATGGTTACTGTGGCGTCTGACACCAACGGTTACTGTGACGTCTGACACCAACGGTTACTGTGATGTCTGACACCAACCAGAAGGAATTCCTTTATCCAGACTAAACAGAGGTTGCGTCCCAAATAGCACCCTATTCCCTATATAGTGCACTAATTTTGACAAGTTTTGGAAAAAAAGTTGTTGCACTATATAGGAAATAGGGTGCTATTTGGGACACACACAGTAGTCCAGAAGACCATCAAAGGCTCAAACTAACTCATATCAGAAGCAGCAGAGGCCCCTAGCAAATCTCTAGTGATCTTAAACATTTCAGAATCATTTGGAACTCATTTGAAATCATGGTTATTTCTAACCCCTGGCCCACCGAGACACACACACACACACACACACACACACACACACACACACACACACACACACACACACACACACACACACACACACACACACACAAACACACTTCACTCTCCCTCCAGCCCCTGTGGAGCAGATGTCGCCAGCAGCCTACCTACTCCCAAGGCCACACACACACACACACACACACACACACACACACACACACACACACACACACACACACACACCACACACACCACACACACACACATACACACACACACACACACACAGAAGCACCATCTGGGACTAGAGCTAGTGTGTGTGTGTGTGTGTGTGTGTGTGTGTGTGCGCTTGTGTGCGTGTGTGGCCTTGGCAGTAGCTAGGCTGCTGGCAACATCTACTGTACATACATACATACAGTGAGCTCCATAATTCATTGGACAGTGACCATTGTTTTGTTATTTTGGTTCTGTACTCTAGCACTTTGAGTTTGAAAGGATACAATGACAATGAGCGTGAAGTGCAGACTGTCAGCTTTAATTTGAGGGTATTTTCATACATATCGGATGAACCGTTTAGAAATGACAGTACCTTTTGTACATGGTCCCCCCATTTTAAGGTACTACAGTATTTGTTAAATTGGCTTCACAGATGTGTGTCGTTAGGCAGGTGTATTCATTTGTGTCGTTAGTGAATGCAGGAGAGCTGTTGATGAATAGTAATGATTCTAGACGTTGCTATTGCCTTTGGAGGTTGTTATTGGGGTGTGACAACATGAGGAAGACAGCAGTGTCGATGCAAATGAAGTTGGCCGTCATAAGGCTCAGAAATGAAAATCAATCATTCAGGAACATTGCAAAAACCCTGGCCATGCCCAAGTCAACAGTTTTGTTCATCATTAACAAGAAAAAAACAACCGGTGAACTCAATTATGTCAAAAGACCCGGTAGACAGAAGAAGACCACTGTAGTGGATGACCGGAGAATACTCTCTATGGTGAAGAAAAAAAAAAACCCCTGATAACAGCCCAAAATATCAAAAACACTCTCCTGGATGCAGGTGTAGATGTGTCAAAGTCTACCATATGCAGAAGACTACACCAGCAGGACTACAGAGGGTACACTACAAGATGCAAACCACTGATAAGCCTGAAGAACAGAAAGGCAAAATTTCAGTTTTGGCCCCAAAAAAGATCTTAAACATTCAGCTCATTGGAACTTCATTTGGAAATCAATTTGGTTATTTCTAACCCCTGGCCCACCGACAACACACACACACACACACCACAAACACACACACAACACACTTCACTCTCCCTCCAGCCCCTGTGGAGCAGATGTCGCCAGCAGCCTAGCTACTCCCAAGGCCACACACACACCACACACACACACACACACACACACACACACACACACACACACAACACACACACACACACCACACACCACACACACGAATGCACCATCTGGGACTAGGCTAGTGTGGTGTGTGTGTGTGTGTGTGTGTGTGTGTGCGTGTGTGGCCTTGGCAGTAGCTAGGCTGCTGGCGACATCTACTGTACATACATACATACATGTCTGTCTGTGTCTCTCTGTCTGTCTGTGTCTCTCTGTCTACCCCTGCATGTGTGTGCTCAATTGGCTATGGAGGGAGTAGAATAGGGTGTTGGCTATGGTGGTGTGGTCAGACGGTGCGGCAGGCACACCTGTGTGTGTTTTTGGTTCTTTTTAAATGGTCCCGTTTGTTTGTGTGTGCTTGCTTGTTTTCCTACCCCCCACCTGGATAGGAACTCCCAGCTGTGGTTTGCCTGTAGCAGGTGGGTCCCTCCAGAACGCAACACACACTGTAGGGTGTCCACCCTCTCTGCCCAGAGTGGGTGAAAACGCGCTTTGGTGTTGACATTTCACTTCCTTATGTTATAAAATACATTTTACCAAGACAAATATGATTCTTCATGTTCTGAATCGTTCAGTCTTTCTCTAACATATCATTAACATTATATCCAAAAAGTTCGGATGTTGTACCCTAATACAGCCGACAATAAGCAGCGAACTCTGCTGACAGAGCAGTGCAGCGTTATCGCCAAAAACCTTTTACATTTTGTGGTCATCGTCTTCCAAGTTGTTTCCACGGGTCGTAAATAACAAGCTGAATTAAATGTAAAAGGTTTTGAAAATAAAAAAGCTTGGGTTACGCTCAGTGCTCCATTGACATTTCACAGAGATACACTTGTTTTTGTGAGAAATCTTCAAAAAAGAACAGGAACTTCACATTAATATGAACATTGTCCACTAAAATATGAAAATACTACATGTCATGTCTCAAAATCGATTTCCATGGATACCCATCTTACCTCTATATTGTTTTATGTCCTCCGGATTTGAGAAGAAAGATGAGGAGTTCATGGGTAAGCCTGTCCGGTAGCCTTAATTTTCGCACAGCATCCAACCTAGCTGACGAGATGTTATTTTCCTGATTTATGACCACTTTTTTTCTCTGGCCTTCATTGATTTAGTCGCTTTAATTTTGACCATCCTACAAGGGTAAAAACTCTGACAAGTTTTGAATGGATTATGAGAGAGACACAAGGTTTGGACCATTGGTTTTCTATGCATCAAACACATGGAAACTATATGTTGCCAAGCTCATTAAGAGGTGAGCTATGCCGCAGTAGGGGAGTCCCCTGATGCGTTAAAGGCGTCCGCGTCCCATCCGAAACAGTTTGTGCATATATTATGACGACATTTTGTGACCCTTTTGTTTGTTTTGGCCTTTGCCAAGGGGTTTGCTGTTCGTGCACACCAAAACTATTCTCGAGGCAAGCCGAAGTTGGGAAGCTGAAGTCTACGGCCCTTCTTCGATGATTGGTCAACAGTAGGGATTCTTCAGTAAAGTCTTTGTTGTCATTCAACGACAGACCACTCATTTTCATGCACATTCTTCACTTGAGAAATACTGCACCAAACATCTTAGTTAGATATAAAACTGCATGACTAAGATCTCTGCAAAAACAAAAAAATGTATGACAGATTTCTTGAGTTATCTTAGATTAATTCAGACTATTTTGAGGAAGCGTATACTGGCATTTTTCAAGCAAAGGTATTTTAAGGTTGTATGCGAGCACACTCGTTCGGTTTCCCTAGCCGAGTTCAGCTAGGTGCCAGCCGAACCAAAGCATGCGGAAGCCTTAAGGCAGACAGCATGTGTGTGTGTATGTGTGTGTGTGTGTTAATTAAATTCACATCTCAGCTAACTGCAGCAGGTCTGAGCAAACCATAGGGCCTAGCACAAACCTCTCTCCCTCTCTCTCTTTCCCTCCTCCTCCTCCCTCTCTCTCTCTCCTTAGGGTTTCTAATGCTGCACACGTTTTCAATTAGAGAAAGGGGATGGAGGGAGAAAGGGAGAGAGAGAGAGAGAAAGAAAGAGAGGGAGAGAGAGAGAGAGAGACAGAAAGAGAGGGAGAGAGGGAGAGAGACAGAAAGAGAGAGAGAGAGAGAGAGAGAGAGACAGAAAGAGAGGGAGAGAGAGGGAGCGAGACAGAAAGAGAGAGAGACAGAGAGAGAGACAGAAAGAGAGGGAGGAGAGAGAGAGAGAGAGAGAGAGAGAGAGAGAGAACAGTAGCTGGGATAACAAATAACAGTGAAGAAGGTGTGAGTTGGTGTATGTACAGATATACACTGAGTGTACACATATTGAAAGAGGAATGACTGAGTTATACTAAGGTACATATGAGTTATACACAGTGTGGGTAGATACAAGTGCAAAGTGTTCTATCAGTGCTGCTGAAAGGTGGAGCAGGTTTGAATTGGTGTCGCCTATGAACAAGTATACATATAACACATATTGAAAGAGGAATTATGTAGTTAAACAGGTAGATTATATACAGTAGATATGAGTTATATACAGTAGGGAGATATGAGTTATATACAGTAGGGAGATATGAGTTATATACAGTAGGGAGATATGAGTTATATACAGTAGGGGATATGAGTTATATACAGTAGGGGGATATGAGTTATATACAGTAGGGAGATATGAGTTATATACAGTAGGGAGATCATTTTACAGTAGGGAGATATGAGTTATACAGTAGGGAGATATCAGTTATATACAGTAGGGAGATATGAGTTATATACAGTAGGGAGATATGAGTTATATACAGTAGGGAGATATGAGTTATATACAGTAGGGAGATATGAGTTATCTACAGTAGGGAGATATGAGTTATATACAGTAGGGAGATATGAGTTATATACAGTAGGGAGATATGAGTTATATACAGTAGGGAGATATGAGTTATATACAGTAGGGAGATATGAGTTATTTACAGTAGGGAGATATGAGTTATATACAGTAGGGAGATATGAGTTATATACAGTAGGGAGATATGAGTTATATACAGTAGGGAGATATGAGTTATATACAGTAGGGGATATATGAGTTATATACAGTAGGGAGATATGAGTTATTTACAGTAGGGAGATATGAGTGTAATGTGTTCTAACCATGGTAAGGAAACTGCACTCCATCGTGTTCATGTTTTATCTTCCTCTCCTGCACACTGGCCAAATGGTGCTGCACTGGAGGAGGAGAATGGGAGGGTTAACAATGAGAGAGAGGGAGGGGGGGAGAGAGGGGGGTGGGGAGAGAGAGAGGGGGGAGAGCGAGAGAGAGTTTGGGGTGGGGAGAGAGAGAGGAGGGCGGAGAGAGAGGGGGGTGGGGGGGAAAGACAGAAATAGCAATATAGAGAGGCAGAGAGAGAGAAACAGAGAGGGGGGGAGGATTGCTTAAGATTTTTAAGACAGTAGTTGAAGTAGTGATCGATCATGGATAACATTGTGGTAAAGTTGGTTCATGGTTACTGTACTGCATTGTTGCTTACTTATCAGGTGACGGTCAACATGGTGTGAGCTTGGGGATGGGGAATGAAGGTCTCCACCTGGTTACAGGTGGGAAGAAGAGGTTATGGAGTCAGTTCTGGTCTCAGATCAGTCTTAGGGAGACAGAGTGTATGAAAGGTCTCCACTAGTATTAATGAACAGGTGGAATATCACTTCTGGTCTCAAATCAGTTTAAATGGAGACAGGAGTTAGGAGCAAAGAGGTGTTCTGGGAAGTTATGATGTCAGTTCCAAATCAGTTTAGAAGAGACAGGCTCTTATTCAATATCCACACTAGCGCACCACTTAGAATGAAGCACTGGGCAAGCTTTCTAAGTGGTGTGGATGATTTTGCCAGAGTGGAATTTGGTACAGTGAGTGAGAAGTGAGAAGGAAAGAGGTGTTTTGGGGAGGGGTTTGTTGAGTTAGGTGTTTTGAAGAACAGTGTGGTGTGGTGAGTTTGGTAAGAATGGTCCAGGGGTCGGGGTACAGGTATAAGGGTAAAGGTAGAGTTTGGGGGCTAGGGGGCGTGTCCTACCTGCGTCCATGTCGTTGGGCCAGCCGCTGGACTGGGAGGAGCCTGCGGCGGGGGAGCGTCCGGGGTAGAAGACGTCGTCCGTGGGGCTCTCCAGCTCACTGTCGTCTAACGACTTCCTCTTGTTTGAGCTGCGGCGAGGAGGAGGGGAGAGAGGAGTCAAGAATGGCCCCCTATTCCCTATGTAGTACACTAAGGCCCTGGTCTAAAGTAGTGCACTATTGGACCGGAGGCTGGTCGAGTGGTTAACACTTGCTTCCCCCTTCGGCAGGAGTCCGGTTCAATCCCGAATGAGCCCTACGCATTTCTGCTCCCACGACTGCCTCCCACTACTGTCTCCCTGCTCCTGTCTCCCACTACTGTCTTCCTTCTCCTGTCTCCCTGCTCCTGTCTCCCGCTACTGTCTCCCTGCTACTGTCTCCCTGCTGCTGTCTCCCACTACTGTCTCCATGCTCCGGCTCCCTGCTCCTGTCTCCCACTACTGTCTCCCTCTTTACTGTCTCCCACTACTGTCTCCCTGCTCCTGTCTCCCTGCTCCGGTCTCCCACTACTGTCTCCCTCATTACTGTCTCCCACTACTGTCTCCCTCATTACTGTCTCCTACTACTGTCTCCCACTACTGTCTCCCACAACTGTCTCCCACAACTGTCTCCCTGCTCCTGTCTCCCACTACTGTCTCCATGCTCCTGTCTCCCACTACTGTCTCCCACAACTGTCGCCCTGCTACTGTCTCCATGCTCCTGTCTCCCACAACTGTCTCCCACTACTGTCTCCCTTCTCCTGTCTCCCTTCTCCTGTCTCCCTGCTCCTGTCTCCCACTACTGTCTCCCTGCTCCTGTCTCATACTACTGTCTCCATGATCCTGTCTCACACTACTGTCTCACACCATTGTCTCCATGCTCCTGTCTCCCACTACTGTCTCCCTGCTCCTGTCTCCCACTACTGTCTCCCTGCTCCTGTCTCCCACTACTGTCTCCCTGCTCCTGTCTCCCACTACTGTCTCCCTGCTCCTGTCTCCCACTCCTGTCTCCCACTACTGTCTCCCTGCTCCTGTCTCCCACTACTGTCTCCATGCTCCTGTCTCCCACTACTGTCTCACACTACTGTCTCCCACTACTGTCTCCCTTAGCCTGTCTCCCACCAATATCTCCATGCTCCTGTCTCCCACTACTGTCTTCCTGCTCCTGTCTCCCACTACTGTCTCCCTGCTCCTGTCTCCCACTACTGTCTCCATGCTCCTGTCTCCCACTACTGTCTCCCTGCTCCTGTCTCCCACTACTGTCTCCCTGCTCCTGTCTCCCACTCCTGTCTCCCTTATCCTGTCTCCCACTACTGTCTCCCTGCTCCTGTCTCCCACTACTGTCTCCATGCTCCTGTCTCCCACTACTGTCTCACACTACTGTCTCCCACTACTGTCTCCCTTAGCCTGTCTCCCACCAATATCTCCATGCTCCTGTCTCCCACTACTGTCTTCCTGCTCCTGTCTCCCACTACTGTCTCCCTGCTCCTGTCTCCCACTACTGCCTCCATGCTCCTGTCTCATACTACTGTCTCCCTGCTCCTGTCTCCCACTACTGTCTCCCTGCTCCTGTCTCCCACTACTGTCTCCATGCTCCTGTCTCATACTACTGTCTCCCACTACTGTCTCCCACCATTGTCTCCATGCTCCTGTCTCCTACTACTGTCTCCCTGCTCCTGTCTCCCACTACTGTCTCCCTGCTCCTGTCTCCCTGCTCCTGTCTCCCACTACTGTCTCCCACTACTCTCTCCCTGCGCCTGTCTCCCACTACTGTCTCCCACTACTGTCTCCCTCCTCCTGTCTCCCACTACTGTCTCCCTGCTCCTGTCTCCCAGCTCCTGTCTCCCACCTACTCCCTCATTACTGTCTCCCACTACTGTCTCCCTGCTCCTGCACTGTCATAAAAGTAATACAAATATATAAATAAATAAAAAGTAGTGCACTATATAATAATAATAATAATAATAATAATATGCCATTTAGCATATAGGGAACAGGATGCATTTGGGACAGAAACACACTCTATATAATTTAGGCATAAAGCACAGAAACAGGGCACACCATCGTATGAATTCACCTTCCCAGTTACAAAGTATTTATTTGTATTCAGCCTTTATTTAACCAGGGAAGTCACATTGAGAGTCCAGGCAGAGGATGAGGACAGTAGAATGAGAACAGTAGAAATTGACAGGAAGGAGAGGGTGGAAAACAGAGACAGAGGCAAACCTAAAAGGCTGATGTGGGTGAGAGTACGTTTAAGGATATGAGATGTGAGCACTGGACCTTTGCTGAGTTTGTATTGAGTATAGTCGGCAGGACAGTGTGTGTATGTGTGTGTGTGGGTGTGTGTGACTGTGTGTGTCAGAATAACTACCTCCGTGGAAGGTTTGCGTACAGCTCGACCTCAGACCTACAGTGCCAGAGAAGACAGAAAGAAAGAGAGAGATGGAGAGAAGGATAGGGGGGTTGGGGGGGGGGGGGGGGGCAGAGAGCATCACACACTTATAAGACCAGAATGACAGAGAGACACAACGAGAGAGAAGAAAGAGATGGAACTCTCAGAGATGGAATGGACAAGAACACTCATTACGGTTATCAACTGAGACGGTCTACAATGTCCCACATACATACTATGGAGTATAGCCTGTAGATATCAGACCTGGGTTCAAATCGTATTTGTTTTCCTTCATCAAATACTATTTGAACCCAGGTCTGGTGGAGGGGCAGCTCTTTTCACCTAGGAACCTTTGAGTGGGTGGAACCTTTTGTGATGGCTAAGCTGTTTGTTTCACCTAGGAACCATAGAGTGGAGGGAACTTAATTTAAGTGAGACCTACATGTACCTGGTGGAAGGGGGGGATGCAAGGGAGCGTCGCCCCAGAGCCACCTGGTTGATGTTGTAGTAGCCAGGACTCTCCAGGTCAGCCAGGGAGAAGTTAGGACCAGACGCTGTGGCTACAGGAGCTGGGAGAACACAGGAAGAGGAGGAGGAGGAGGAGGAGGAGGAGAGATTTAGAAGACAGTAAATTGTGGAAAAAAACGGATTGTGGAATTTGAAGAACAAACGTCCAGCCAAGAGAACATTGGAAGAGTATGGAGAGAAAGAGTAAGGGATAAGAGAAACAGAGAGAGAAGGTAAGTGAGAGAAAGAGATAGATAGAGAGATAGAGCTATATATAGAGAGATAGAGCTATAGAGAGAGAGATAGAGCTATAGATAGAGAGATAGAGCTATATATAGAGAGATAGAGCTATAAGAGGATAGAGCTATAGAAGATGAGCTTATAGAGAAGGAAATAATAGAGAGATAGAGCTATAGATAGAGAGATAGAGCTATAGATAGAGAGATAGAGCTATATATAGAGAGATAGAGCTATAGAAGAGAGATAGAGCTATATATAGAGAGATAGAGCTATAGATAGAGAGATAGAGCTATATATAGAGAGATAGAGCTATAGAGAGAGAGATAGAGCTATAGATAGAGAGATAGAGCTATATATAGAGAGATAGAGCTATAGAGAGAGAGATAGAGCTATAGATAGAGAGATAGAGCTATAGATAGAGAGATAGAGCTATAGAGAGAGAGTAGTAGAGCTATAGGAGTAGAGCTATAATAGAGAGATAGAGCTTATAGTATAGAGAGATAGAGCTATAGATAAGAAGCTATAGAGAGATAGAGCTATATAAGAGAGAGTAGAGAGCTATATATAGAGAGATAGAGCTATAGAGAGAGAGATAGAGCTATAGATAGAGAGATAGAGCATAAAAGAGAGAGTAGAGAGATAGAAGAGATAGAGCTATAATAGAGAGATAGAGCTATAGAAGAGAGTAGAGCTATAGATAGAGAGATAGTAGCTATATAGAGATGATGAGATGAGCTATATAGAGAGAGATACTGAGGCTATAGATAGAGAGATAGAGCTATAGATAGAGAGATAGAGCTATAGATAGAGAGATAGAGCTATAGATAGAGAGATAGAGCTATAGATAGAGAGATAGAGCTATAGATAGAGAGATAGAGGATAAGAGAGGGGTAGATACTCACTCTGTGACACCCTGACGAGCTCAGCCACGTTCCACACTCCTGAGGTGACGAAGCAGTCCTGGAAACTCAGGTGCCCTGCAGAGGAGAGAGGGGAAGAGTTAGGATGTGTGTGTGTGTGTGTGTGGATGCGTGTGTGCGTGTGTCCGTGTGTGAGTGTTCTCTTACCATTGGGCGGTGGCTTGATGTCTGTGTCTCCTTGTTGGCTGGAGCTGTCTGATTGTCCAGATTCTAGAAGAGAAGAGAAGAGGAGAGGAGAAGATTTAGCTTGGCTGTGGTGGATACAAAGGAAACTGCTGTATGTGAGGAAAGAGGAAGGCAGGAGGTGTTGGAGCCCCTCTGAACTTCAGTCATAGATTCTATACTGACAGATGGGATATTTGAGAAGAGTAGAGAGATTGCTTCACTAAGGGTCAAGGAGGGTTTGTATGTATACAGTGTTTATCTGTATATATCAATGTCACAGAATGTTCCTAATGTTCCTACCCCCCCCCCCCCCAACTCCTGTCTCAAGGTGTTCAGATTTACTGTTTGTGTGTAGAGTATGTCTCTCTGTGTGGTGTGTGTGTGTGTGTGTGTGTGTGTGTGTGTGTGTGTGTGTGTGTGTGTGTGTGTGTGTGTAAGGTGTTCTGTTTATGCAGCCTAAAACCCTACCAGCAAGGAGGTATAAAGTGAGATTAAGAAGAGGGATATGATTGCGCTGTTAGATGCTAGATGGCGCCAACACACACACACACACACACACACACACACACACACACACACACACACACCCCCTTGGCTGACAGCGCAATCCTTACTGCCCAGGGAGGGGGATTTAAGGCTAAGTGTGGTAAAGGTGAAGGAAACTCAGTGGCCTTTAGAGATTGACAGAGACAGCAGTGGCAATGCACACGCGCACACACACTCAGACACACACACACTCAGACACACATACACACACACACAACACACACAGCTGTCACAGCCTTAGTACTGCTCTTGGCATTGGTAGGCCGCAGAAGCCAGGGACTAGAGTAGAGATTACAGCCACAAGGGAGAGGAGGTTACAGGGGAAGTCTTCCAGTAAAGACTCCCTAACCTGCAGCATGTGTCATTACAGGCTAACTGATCCATTAGAACAAAGTGGAGAACCAAGGCTGACACAGAGAAAGTACTATTGGTGATTCCTGTGTGTTTCTTTGTTTATGCACTGTGTGCTATCTGGCATGTGTGTGTTTTGTGGTCTATGTCCATGCACAGAATGTAGTCTATGTATAATTAAGCAATAAGGCCCGAGGGGGTGTGGAATATGGCCAATATACCACAGCTAAGGGCTGTTCTTAAGCACAACACAACGCAGAGTGCCTGGATACAGCCCTTAGCCGTGGTATATTGGCCATATATCACAAACCCCCAAGGTTCCTTATTGCTATTAGAAACCAATGTAATTAGAACAGTAAAAATACATGTTTTGTCATACCCATGGTACAGTATATGGTCTGATATACCACGGCTTTCAGCCAATCAGCATTCAGGGCTCGAACCAACCGGTTTATAATGTAGTGTGTGAATGCGTCTGTGTGTGTATGCTCCAGCCCTATCTCCGGTGTGTGTGTGTAGTACCAGTGGTGTGGGCATGACATCTGCAGGGCCACAGCCAGGCCTAACTAACGGAGGTGTTTATCTGCAGCATGTAGTTGATAACAGAGCAGGGGAGGACTGATGCCAACATGCAAACACGCACGCAATCACACACACAGCACAGCCTCGCCACACTAAGCCACAAGATTAGTCAGTAGAAACAAAAACAGACCTGTCTCAGTGCTTACTAATACTGGGAGAGGAGAGAGAGAGGTAAGGAGAAAGTGAGGAACAGAGGGAGAGAGAGAGAGCGAGAGAGAGAGGGAGAAAGAAAGAGCGAAGTAGAGAGATGATAGGGGGAGAGAGATAGAGGGAGAGAGAGAGAACGGGAAGGAGAGGAGAGGAGAACAGGATTGAGACAGAGAGGGACAGAACGGGACAGAGAGAGAAGGCGAGAGAGGGACAGAAACAGAAAGAGAGGAATAGAAGCAGCTCCTTTTTCCTCCCTTCTGCAGACTCTCCTCCTCTCTTATCTTTTCTCGCTCGCTGCTCCTGGCAGCCATCTTATGGCTTGGCAGCCATTTTAGCATTGGCGGTAGCGAAGCATTCCAGCTAGCTGACGCCACTCACACACAACCGTTTGCACACACACACACTCAAAGTAAACATATATGTTGGCCAACGAAAACTGTTAAGAAAGAAAATAGCGTCCACTGAACTTTCTTCCTGTTGTGTTTCGCCTCTTGAATCTATAATAAGAAGCACTGACTCTCCAACACGGTACGTACAGCACATTGTGTGTGTGTGTGTCCGAGCTACAATCCAATGGAAAGCAGTAGGTGTTCAAGTTATTTAACTGAATAAACACAGCAAACAGAACCCTCAACCCAGTCAGGGGTTCTGGAATGATACAAATTGATTCAACAGATTCCCCTCAGTCAATCACCAGTAAATGTCCTTTGATGTGAGTGATTTGTAGGCTAGTGGACCTGTTCCTTGGCCCAGATATTGGCGTGATTGAAGAAGCATGCGTGACAAACAGAGAGCTTCTGTTCCTATCAGAGTTGATAAGAGGTATCAGGACAGCCAACACTACAGGCCCACTGACAACCCCCTTCAACATCACCCCCAGTACTCTAGAACCCCACCCTAGAACCCCACTCTGGTGAAGTGGTCACACTGTGACCGTCACAGCACAGCTGATTCTACGTCTCTGGTAGCTTTAGCCTGGCTAGCCTTACTCTAACTGCTGGTGAACTCTGAATCAGTACCACATGGGTGTATCTCTACGTCACTACAGAGAAGGAGCTGCCTGCTGGTTATCACCACAACGCCAGCTGCAGGCACTGAGGCAGCCAGCCCCCTAGCCTCCCCCAGTGTGTGTGTGTGTGACACACATCCAGGCCTCTTATCTGTACTCCACAGCCCCCCAAAGCCCTCCCCCACAGCCCCAAATCATGCCCCTGCAGCTCCCCTAACATCCTTTACTCCTACCCCCCAAAACCCCACAGCCTACCACACAACACCTCCAAGGTCCAAAATTATTGGCACCCTCGATAAAGATGAGCAAAAACGTACGTATAAAATAAATAATACAAATACTGAGCTATATTGTATGCAATTTTTTTCAACAAAAACCAAAAGGTACTAATACGATTGCTCAGAGAAAGACAAAAATATATAGGTGTCAAATTATTGGCACTCCAGTTTTCAATACTCTGCCACCCTCCCCTTGCGAGAATAATGTCAAAGTATTTTTCTAAAATGTTTTATGAGATTGGATAACACATTGGGGCATCTTAGACCATTCCTCCATACAGAATCGTTCCAGATCCTTCATATCCTTTGTCTGCGCTTATGGACTGCCCTCTTTAATTCAATGGGGTGCCATTGCAAAATGTTTATTTTGTGGTCAATTAACAATTTCTTTGTGGATTTTGATGTGTGCTTGGGGTTATTGTCTTGCTGGAAGATCCACTTGCGGCCAAGTTTCAGCCTCCTGGCAGAGGCAACCAGGTTTTTGGCTAAAATGTCCTGGTACTTGGTAAGTTCATGATGCCGTTGACCTTAACACGGGCCCCAGGACCAGCGGTAGCAAAATGGCCCCATAACATCAAAGATCCACCACCATATTTTACAGTAGGTATGGGGTTCTTTTCTGCTAAGCATTCTCATTTCAACACCAAACCCACCACTGTTGTGTGTGGCCAGAGCTCTATTTTCATGTCTACCGACCAAAGCACCAGTTCCAATCCAAGCGCCTATGCCGTTTAGCAAACTCCAGGCGTTCGCATTTGTTGGTTGCTCTCAAAAAAGGCATTTTTTTGGCCAACCCTTCCAAAGAGCCTATTGACATAAACAAAATGACAATATAGGAGGAAGGTGAAATCCTATTACACCGGCTCCTATGCTCGTCGTATGTGGCAGGGCTTGCAGACGATAGCGGATTACAAAGGGAAACCCAGCCGTGAGTTGCCCAGCGATGCAGAACTCCCAAACTAGCGAAATGCCTTTTATGCTCGCTTCGAGGAATATAACACTGTGCCTTGCGTGAAAGCCCCTGTTTTTCCGGATGACTGTGTGATCTCGCTCTCTGTGGCCGATGTGAGCAAAACGTTTAAACAGGTTAACAATCACAAGGCCGCAAGGCCAGACGGAATACCAGGGCGCGTTCTCAAAGCATGCGCAGACCAGCTGGCAAGTGTCTTCACGGACATTATCTCTCCTTATCCAAGTCTGTAATCACAACATGTTTCAAGCTGACCACCATTGTCCCTGTTCTCCAAGGTAACCTGCCTACATGATTATCACCCTGTAGCACATCTGTAATTATGAAGTGCTTTGAAAGGCTGGTCATGACACACATCAACACCATCATCCCAGACACCCTGGACCCTCTCCAATTTGCATACTGCCCCAACAGATCAACAGATGACGCGCTCTCAATTGCACTTCACACTGCCCTCTCCCACCTGGACAAGAGGGGAAATAACTATGTGAGAATGCTGTTCATAAACTACAGCTCAGTGTTCAACACCATAGTCCCCTCCAAGCTCATCACCAAGCTAGGGACCCTGGGACTGAACCCCTCCCTCTGCAACTGGTCCTGGACTTCCTGATGGGCCGGCCCCAGGTGGTGAGAGTAAGCAAAAAAACACCTCCGCCATGCTGACTCTCAACACAGGGGCCCCTCAGGGTTGTGTGCTTAGTCCCGTCCTGTACTCCCTGTTCACCCACGATTGCGTGGCCACGCACGACTTCAACGCCATCATCAAGTTTGCTGACGACACGATGGTGGTAGGCCAGATAACCGACGGCGATGAAACAGCCTACAGGGAGGAGGTCAGAGACTTAGCAGAGTGTTACCGGGACAACAACCTCTCCCTTAACATCAGTAAAACCAAGGAGCTGATCGTGGACTATAGGAGAAAGAGGGGAGAGCACGCCCCCATCCACATCGGCAGGGTTGTTGTGGAGCGAGTCGAGAGCTTTAAGTTCCTTGGCATCCACATCAGCAAGGACTTCAAATGGTCCACACACACCCACAGAGTCGTGAAGAGGGCACAGCAGCGCCTCTTCCCCCTCAGGAGGCTGAAAATATTTGTCATGGGACCTCGGGTTCCTCAAAATGTTCTACAGCTGCACCATCAAGAGAATCTTGACTGGCTGCATCACCGCTTGGTATGGCAAATGCACCGCCCTCGACTGCAAAGCGCTACAGAGGGTGGTGCGGACAGCCCAGTACATCACTGGGGCCGAGCTCCCTGCCATCCAGGACCTTTATATATCATGCGGTGTCAGAGGAAGGCCCGAAAAATTGCCAAAGACTCCAGCCACTCAAGCCATAGACTGTTCACTCTGCTACCGTCCGGCAAATGGTACTGAAGCATCGGCTATAGGAACAACAGGCTCCGAGACAGCTTCTACCCCCAAGCCATAAGACTGCGCATGTGACAAATACGAATATTTTTTTTTTATTTTGACATGGAGGTGGCATCTAATTGTAGATTTGGTGACCAGAAGATGTGGCCATGTTCTGTAATTCTCCAACTGTGGCCATTGGACTTTTCTTTGCCTCCCGAACCATCTTCCTCACTGTGCGTTAGGACAAGATACACATGCATCCTCTACCAGGCAAGTTTACCACTGTTGCAGTGGTTTTAAACTTCTGAATTGTTGCCCTAATAGTGGTAAGTGGTATTTGTGTTTTTTTTTTTAGCAATTCTTTGGTACTCATTGCCTGATTTATGAAGGTCAACAACCATTTGTCTCTTTTCGTTTGTGAGTTCTTTGCCTTTTCCCATGGTGATGGATGACAAAGGGCTTTTACATGCGTCTTACCTCATTTTTATACCCCAGTGAAACAGGAAGCCATGGAAGACCACAATACAGTTCCTTAAACTGAGATTAATTGGAAAAAAAGAATGATAATGCAGATTTAATTTTGTTTGTTTTTATTTATAAGAATCTTTAATATAATTTTCCCATTTTTTGAGCATACAATATAGCTCAGTATTTGTTTTACTTATTTGAAACAGTATTTTTTGCTCATCTTTATCAAGGGTGCCAATAGTTTTGGACCTGACTGTACATACACAGCCGCCCACAGCTATAGCAATAAAGTCCTCCAGTTCCTCCAAATTCCCAATAGTCCCTTTACACACTCACAATCCTGTCCTGCTCCTCCCCAAATTCCCCCAATGGAGTTTCATGAAGCCTGATGTAAAGCAGGCGTCCCTAGACCCAAACAGTCCCAGTCCCATATTCCCACCAGTCCCCACAAACCCTGACAGTCCCATGGCTTTAGACACTGACAGTCTTGTATATCTCATCCCTCCCAATTCCCCCATCGAAGCCCCATGATACACACATCAACAGCCATTCCCACAGCCCGCCCCATATCCCCATATTATTCCCACCACAGCCCCTGTGAAATCCCACAGCCCCACCACAACCATTATACAGTAAGCCTTCATGGCCTTAACATACCCCCCACTGTGTCTGCTCTTTTCTCTCTCTCTCCTGCCTAACCCTCTCTCTCCTCTCCTCTTTTTCTCTCTACCTCTTCGGCCGATCATCTCCTCTCCTTCCTCACCCTCTCTTCTCGTCTTTCTTCTCCTCTCGAAATTCTCTCTCCTTCCTAACCCATCTCTCTCTTTTCTCTCTCTCTCTCCTTCCTAACCCTCTCTCTCTTTTTTCTCTCTTTCTCTCTCTCCTTCCTAACCCTCTCTCTCTTTTCACTCACTCTCTCTCTCTCTCCTCCCTTAACCCTGACTTCCCCAACCTTCCTTTCCCCCCTCTGTGGTTCCTCTCTCCCCCTCCTCTCCATTCCTCCCTCTGTGGTTCCTCTCTCCCCCTCCTCTCCATTCCTCCCTCTGTGGTTCCTCTCTCCCCCTCCTCTCCATTCGCCCCCTTGTGGTTCCTCTCTCCCTCGTCCCTCTCCTCAATCCTCCCTCTTGTGTCCCTCTCCCCCTCCTCTCCTATCCCCCCTCTGTGGTTCCTCTCGCCCCCTCCTCTCCTATCCTCCCTCTGTGGTTTTCCTCTCCTCTCCACTTTCCTCCCTCTGGGTTCCTCTACCTCTCCTCCCCTCTGTGGCCCTCTCTTTCCCTCACTCCTCTGCGTCCTTCTCGTCACCCAGTCTCCTTCCCTCTCCATTCTGTCCTCCCTCTGCTTCCTCCTCTTTCTCCCCTTCCTCCTCTCCCTCTGTCCTCTCCTCTCCTCTCCTCTCCTCCCTAACCTCTCTTCCCTAACCTTCACTTTCACACAACTCACCTCTCCTCCTCTGTGGTTCAAATATCAATTCAATTCAAAGGGCTTTATTTGCATGGGAAACATATGTTTACATTGCCAAAGCAGGTGGAATAGAAAATAAACAAAAGGGAAATAAACAACGGAAACATTGGTAAACATTATACTCACAAAAGGTTTAAAAGAATATAGACATTTAAAATGTTATATTATTGGTTGTGTACAGTGTTGTAACAATGTGCAAGTAGTTGAAGTATAAAAGGGAAAATAAATAAACAGATCAAAACAGGTCACAAATCTTGCTGCTGTGATTGCACCCTGCTGTATTTCGCCTAACAGATATGGGAGTTTATCAATGTTTGATTTGTTTTCAAATTCTTTGTGGATCTGTGGGAAATATGTGTCTCTAATGTGGTCATACATTTGGCAGGAAGTTAGGAAGTGTAGCTCAGTTTCCACCTCATTCTGTGGGCAGTGGGCACATAGCCTGCCTTCTCTTGAGAGCCAGGTCTGCCTACGGCAGGCTCTCAATAGTAAGGCTATGCTCACTGAGTCTGTACATAGTCAAAGATTCTCTTAATTTAGCTCAAATATCTCTCCACTTCCAGTCCCCCCCCCCCTCCCCCTTGCTGTGTTCGGTGTTAAGCCTTGTTGATTGTTGACCTTTGAGTGTGTGTGTGTTTCAGTGTGTATGTTTATGTTAATCCCCATTGACCGCTGACCGGTGGTGGTGACCAGCTGGCCTCTGGGGTCACAAAGGTCAGACAGACCATTCCACTCTGTCACACTGAGCAGCCCGGCCGGACTAACAGACGGTCAACTGAGGGGCAGAATAATGCCCAAATAGCCCAGATTAAACACTAAACACTTACAACAAACACACACATACACACACTGACGCACACACACACTGACTCAGATTAAAACACGCACACACACTGACTCAGATTAAAACACACACACACACACACACACACACACACTGACTCAGATTAAAACACACACACACACACACTGACTCAGATTAACACACACACTGACGCTTATGCACACACACACACTTACGTCTATAAATAAGATGGAGGGGGGGGGAAAGTGGAGTCAAAACCAAGAACACCCCACAGCTGGCCAGATGTTTTATAGGGCATGGCAGAGAAGTGTCCTTGTGAATGAGTGTACACACACACACTTTGCTATTTTAATGCATGTAATGTAAAGCCGCTCCTCTGTTCCAACATGTGAAAACCACAAGTGAGCGCCATTAAGTGCATGGCCATCTGTACGTCTTACCAGCGTGTGCGTGTGTGTGTGTCAGTGCGTATTCACAGAGATTCCCCTTCCCCTCACAAATGCCACCTCTACCTCCCTCTACCTCCTTCATCCCTCCCTCTTCCCCAAAACACAGGATAACACAGTACTGCCTCCACGTCAACTCTCTCTCCCCCCCCCCATCCCTCAGCCCCCCCCACCCCCTATCCATCCCTTCTCCCTCCATCCACTTCTTCCCCAAAACACAAGATAACGCGGTACTCAAGCCTCCCAATTGGGTTCGCTTAAGAGGTTTATGGGTATGTTGCTAAACATTCTGACCTTTTTTTTAATCCTTAATGCGCTTAAAAATGTTCCAACCCCTCCTAATCCCCTCGGCTATCCCACACAGATGTTCACTCTGCTCTTTATTGGACATTATTTTATTATATTTATTTTCCAGGGTTTCATTTTATTATTTTTTATTTCCCCAGTTTATTATTTTAGCTGGTTTATTTTATTACTTTTTCCAGTTTTTTTCTCTTTTATTATTTATTTATATTTTATTTATCATTTAGTCATTTATTTTCTTTTTTATAAGACCACGTCATATCAATGGATAAAAAATATATATATTTCTCTGCAGGCAGTCTGTATGGACACCCCTGCTTTGATGGGGTCCTGACAGTGTGACTAAGGACCCTGTACTAGCAGGTCAATAAGCCCTATAACACTGCTCCTGTTTGAGTTAAAAGCTTCTGACCCCAGACAAAAGAGAAATGATCCATCCTAAATGTGTGTGTTTGCCTATGAGTACGTCTGTGTGCGTTTCTCCATTTGTGTGCATGTGTGTTTCCACAATGCACTGTGCCAGTCAAACCAGGCAGAAGCCTGCGTGTGTGTGGAGCGTAGTGGCAGCAGTGGGTTCTGAGTAGAGAGAGCAGGTGTGCCTAGCCGCCCGGCGCAGCTTGCTGCCCATCTGTGCACCCGTCTGTGTGCCGCCTGCGCCCACGCTCTGCCAACACCGCCATGCCGCACCAAGGGGACCCCGGAGAGAAGGAGAGAGCAGAATCAGGAGGGAGGGATGGAGGGGGGCTCCGCAGGGCTGGGGCCTGGAGGATAGGCAGGGGATGGATGGATTGGGGAAGGGAGGGAAAAGTAGGAGAGAGGAGGGTAGGAGAGAGGGATGGAGAGATAGAGGGATTGATGGAGGGAAGGTAGGGGAAGACTCCAGGGCTGGGGCCTAGAGCCCTGACTAGAGGACAGATAGACAGTGGATGAAAGAGGGAGTGAAGGGGGAGAGATGGAGGGGAGGGAGGAGGTGGAGGGAGGGATGCTCCAGGGCTTTGGCCTGGAGGATAGATAGACAGGCAGGGGATGGATGAGGGAGGAGAGAGGGAAGAATGGAGGGAGTATAGAGGAGGCCAGGGGATTGGTAGAGTGGGTAAGGAAGTCAGGGAAGGGGGAGAGGGCTGGCTGGCTGCATGCCCACACACAACACAGCCCCTTGCCACCTTTGGCTCTGCTTGCCCCCTCTCCATTCTTCCTCTTATCCTGATAATACCACCACACCTCCCTCTTTCTCCCTTGCTCTCTCTCTCTCTCTCTCTCTCTCTCGCTGTTGTATCAATGCAGCTTACTGCTGCTATGTAATACAATGAAGTGGTCTATAGGCCTACAGTAAGATGTTTTATTGTTTATGGACCAATGATATAAAGAGAAAAAGAGAGTGTCTGTCTTCTCCCAGAAAGTGATATTTTAATAAAGCATTGATACAGATATCACCAAACCCTCTCTTTTTTTTGGACACAGTACATTATGGGTCCCCCACTTTGGGTGATCATTGCTATGCAAGCCGGCCTGTCGGTCACAGCCCCAACAGATACACACTGATTCATAATTCATATGGATAGCCGGGTGGAGATGGATTGCCTAATTCAGTGGCTGGGAGTGATGCTGACAGGCCTGTTATAGGACAGCAGCTCAGAGTCCCGTAGGACCCCTAGGGCTCAGTCAGAACACTGGAGACGTGTGTGAGAGAGAGAGACCTGGATCTAGGGCTGGACGATATGGCCTAAAAGTCATATCTCAATGTTTTCTAACTTATGGGCGATTCACGATATATATAGAGATTTTTTAAATGCTTTCTCTAAATATGCGTTGTTGTACAATTAAAGGTCAAATACACTGCATTTCAAACAGTCAGCAATAATCTAATGAATTCAGGGCTTGAGAAGTTATACCTAGGCTAAATATAAGCATTCCACAACCATAAGACCCACTAATAATTTAATTATCTTATCAAAATAGTTTAACCAGCTTTTTTTTGCAGTAATCACTGATTTGGCTTTCAAGTCTATGAAAATGCCCTTTTTTTGTTACAAATTTAACTAGAACCATGCATAATGCACATTCACTATTAATGACTAACTTCTTGTAGCAAGCATTAGGCTATAGAAAATTAACTCTGGTCTCATCAACAATCTCTCAAGCCCACGTGTTAGTGATTAGCCAGCTAATCTTTATATTTCAACTTTAGCCAACTTGGATCTATTTGCTAGCTAACAAGGTTGAACAGTTGAATTGCTATGAACACACCCTTCTGTCTGTCTCCAACTGTTTGAAAAGCATGTTAGCCTGTCCACTTTGTTCAGATGTTGAAATCAAGTGTCCTACCTTATTTCTCAGAATGAGAACGAGTTGCCAATTCCTTATATAATTGTGTTTCATGCTTATTGCACATTTATAAAACACAGACTAGACAGCTAGTATAACAGTCTTTGGCTAAAATACTGCTAACGGTACGTGGTACCAATGCCGCGTGCGACAAACTGAGCATTCATTTTCCAGAATCAATGTTCATTAATACTCTCGTTTTAGTAGTGTCTGCTCTGCGCGCAATTTGAGTAGTTGAGACATAAAAAGGGTATAATTTGAAAAGTTATACTCCATTACAGTTAAA